TCAGTGACTGGTTCTTGTTCCAAGTTCCAGGTTAACTCTTCTTTCTCGTGCCCAGAACAGGGTGCGTAGAAAGATGAAATCACGAGAATTTTTCCGAGCGTTCGACTCAACCCTCACCCTGATGAAGGTGTTCGGGTTTCACCGCTTTACCCTAACTTGAATAACTTGTAGTTGTAAAGAGAGTACACAAGTATTACGTCAGCAGCGAAGGGTGGGGGGGGGGGGAAAGGTGACCCATGTGATGACAACTCATCACGAGGTGAGATCCTCCCGACGCTCATATAAACATTTACTTTTGTTTGCCCGATTGGCAGCACGGTTGACACCTTGCTGTCTGTGACTTTCCTGTGATAATGACGCTTCTTTTCTTTCCCCTCCCGGCGTGACAACAGCGTTTTCATGATTGGCTTTTCAATATCTAATGTTACTTAGGAGTCGCAGTTTACTGTGTCGAAAAGGATGGAGGAGGAGGGGGGGTTATGATGATTCATTACTGTTGGGGTGGTGGGTCAAGCATCTCATTATTGATAATGAATTGGGAGGTAGAACCAAAAATTGTCAAATATCTGCTGAGGTAATGCTTGAACGTTCTCAACCTCGATACTGCTGCGTAACAACCCCCATGGAAGAGACCGCATGCATTCTAAGTTACTTTTGTTTATGTTCCTGCCTGGCCCTCATTAGTATGGTAATGCACGGCGCTGTTCGTAACCACCAAGAGCCCTGTTCGAACCCCCTCGCAGCCTGGGTGCAGGTTGGTACACGAATTGACATGCTTGTTTTTTGTGCTAAAAACTGTACCCCTTTGCGTAAATATCAATAGTTGCATGAGAATACTTTGAAAGTAATTTTTTTTTTCCACCAGATTCCGCCAAGCTGGGAGACATCAGCCGAGTAAGGCCAGACCCATCCGTTAATCGTGTGTTTTGGCGCTTGCACGAGGAGGATGGTTTCAATCGGATAGCTATCTGTAGAAGAGCGCAGGAAGAGGACCCTCTCTGCTCAAACCAGCTCAGACAAGGAAGGAGCTTGCATTCGCAATTTAGGAAGGGTCTGCGCAAGAGCTGAAACGACGTGACCGATGGCATCGCAGAGCGGTGAGAGCTTCTTTTCTAGCCAAGCGCAGTTCCATCATCCTCAAATTGCAAATGCAAACACCGGAGAGTGTTCTCTCCCAGTATTTTATACATAAAAAATGGGCACGGAATCGCCTCAGAGCTTGAGAAACACCTTTGATTCCAGCAAACAGCACCACCTTGCTGTGCTCTTCAACAGGCAATCACCCTTTTGAAGTTCAGTAGCATGCCTCAAAATAGACGCTCCTTGGATAGGCTTCGTGTTACTCGGCTAACACCACTCAGCCTAGCTGAACAGAGATTTAAAAATTTCCTAAACAAAGCACCTTCAAGATGAGCTTAAGTCGAAAATGTATGCAAAAGTGTAGCTCACTATATTATAATTTAAAAAGTGCTATCGTTTAGTGTGCTACTCGTACATCGAATTCGCCGGTCCAAGCAAGAGAGTGCCTCGTTCCATTAGAAAGACATCTAGTGTGCCATCAGAGTAGTGACGGGTTCTCCGTTTCATTCACAGATGCCGCTACGCATGATCTGTTTTGCTTGGGCAAGCAAACTCGAATACGCTATTGCTTCTCGGTCAAGGACGGATTATGAGGAACTTTAGTGGATGTAAGGCCCTTTATGTGATATTCTTGCTCACAAATCGTATTACCGTAACCTAGGAAGGCGAAGCGTGGTTTCGATGGATAATCACCAGCAGAGTTCGGGAATTCATGAGGTTTTATCACATGCTTCTCGGTGCACTGACTAGAATGAGGGGAAGGGGTTGTGGGGATATGACGTTTTTGTTCGCCCCCTCAATCAATGTTGCCAAAGTCCTCCTCAATCTTAGATAAGGATGATTCATAGGCACAAGGATGAGCTAGGAGGGAGATAGCTTTTTTTCTATTCTGGAGATTAGTTCTACATGATCTGGGGAAAAAAAAGCGAGCTGCTCGGCTGCGAACCGCGAAATAAAGCAAAATGAGAAGAACTTGTTCTACTTCCTCAAGAATTACGAAGAATATGGAAACACTCAGTCCAGGCTCTGGGTTCTAGGTCTCGCCAAATTTTCTATCAATACCAACCCAGACAATTCTACAGAGGGGCTTATCCTGTCGTCGAAACTTTATGGAGGTGCTTGGAATTCTATGTTAACTTGGCTATTACAGGAAAAGATAGGGTGAGGGATAGGTAGAGAAGGAACAGTAAGACCTTTAAAATAAAATTCTAATATATGCTATCAAATTTACTTATGCTTTACAGTGAAAACAAAAGTGCATGAAACATATTCCCCACTCAGGAGGGTGCGTACCATCTGACGCTGCGACGGGGCCCGTGGTTATCCCTCCTAACGGCCGAGGCCTGCAGGGCCCCGAGACCTTCCATCCGCGATAAGGGATATCCATTTATTCGGCAATACCTTGAAAGGATAGGGAGAATGCGACCGAGAATGGATGGAGGATCTCTGCGTGGCCGCTATCCTCATTTCAGCAACGGGACGGTCGTCACTACCCGGTCATTTCTGCTCATACGTTTCTCTGTTTTAAAGACCTTTCAAAAATGCGTCTTTTTTTCCCACGAAAGAAGCAAAGTACACTGGCGATTGGAAGAAAAAAAAACAGTTCCTATTCTCAGGAAAATGTTCTTTCGTTCCTTCTTACATCGAGGATAAATGACGTCAAGTGGAGCTTGGAATCCCTTCAAAGCGGTTTTTTTGCGAACTGATGTCGATTTTTCGTGCATAACAGAAATGGCCGCAAGGGATCTTTTAATGGTTCCCTGGAAATAGCCATTAGTTCGGAGAACGTGATTATTTCCAGATCAAAAACTCTTGCATGTTGGAATGCTCTCTGGGCCACGATGAAATGTATAAATCTCCTCGGCAAGGTGGAGAGGATAAGCCCATGAGTGCACGTTGTCCGAAAATGACCAATAGGAAGAGAATAGCTGGAGGGCATGAACTGGCCCGCGCCACGTGCAAAGCCGTGCAAGGAACAACCAGCCATTCACTCCCTTCCTCTCGCGTAGAAAAAATAGAAGCACAGCGCCGTAGGTTCCTTTTCCTTGGTTGGATCCATCAACAGAGAGAAAGTGCGCGCTGAATTACATCTGGATCGGATATCTCAAAGGGTGGAAGGGTGTGCGTGTGAGTACACGTGCGTCAGGGAGCGCGTGCACATCCCTTCTCCATTAGTGCGGAAAAACACTCCTATATTCCCTTTACGCTCTCTGCGGATCTTCTCCGTCTTCCCTCGTCCATCTCCTGAAGCCCTGACAGCACATGGAGAACTTGGATTTCCTCATACTCAAGGTGAGGTGAACATGCTCATGTTTTCATATTCTTGGAGCTAGGGCGTCGCTTGACTTCAATTCTTTCATCTAAGTATTATGCGATTTACTGCCGACAATAGCATCTTCTAAGTCCTGCAGCTTTGACCATTTACTTGACGAGACTTTGATCTACGTGATCTTAAAACCGATGTTCTTTCTTCTTTTTTTTTAATGAATTAATCATACGCAGTTTCTTTGTTCTTCGCGACCTTCGTATCGGAAGACTCGTCTTCCATCATGAATAGTCTGAGATTCAGTAACAAAAAACAACGAGGAGGAGGCTGGTAGGCAAATAGCCGGAAGGATGGACTTCGCACTAGATAATGGAGGCTTATAAGAGGAGAAGGATTGATTTATCGAGATTTCGTCCTTGAAGCGGAGAAGTGCGGCCGTTGAACATGAACCAGACTCATGAGTTCAAGAAACAGTACCCGCGGTTTCATCATATGAATAAAGGCCTACCGCAGACCAAAACCCCCCTCAGTTCACACTCCATTAATATTCAGGAGATTGGAGTCTGCTTTTTTTTCCTCTTCTCGAGACTCTGTTTAGGCAGATGTTCCCTTTAATGGGCTTCGACTTCAATGGCCCATGGCCATAATGACGCTAAAGAAACCGCTGTGTACGTGTACAATTGTATTGCACATCTCAGGCGCCAGGGATCTTTGTCCTCTACCATTTACGGGACGGTTTCTCTGAGTCTCCCGTAAACTACTGATGTCGCAGGATGGGGTGAAAAGCTGATCCTGGTCTCTGATAACCGGCCTAAGAGCGATCAATAGAAGGCATCAGACAGACGTACAGTACAGAGTGGCCCTATCAATCCTCCTCACTGAGAAGCCTGTTTCATTTCAAGGCTTGTTCCTCTTGAAGACCGACTTCAGCAGATACTTACTTACTGACACTTACTAAGACACTTACTGTTTCTCTGTTACTTTTCATTTCCTCATACATGACTTTCCATGCAGTTCATGCTCAGGTTTTTACTTCTTGGCTTCACATTTATTTTATGCTTCTTTGCCCAATTATATAAAACGCACTCGAGTAAATAAGAATAATGAACATATTTCAAAAGATAACGGTAATGATATAGGGAGGGTAATGTAGTGGGGCTAATTACAACAATGGCATAATATAATAATAATCCTCTTAAATTGAACCACTCTGATGCATCTGGAGTTGTGCTCCTGTTTAAATTCGGACAGTGCATGGTGACGACTTTGCGGTAAATGGAGTGAATCGAATCGCGTGGTCATTGTTCGAGGTGTCGGCAGAGCCATTATGAAGATACAACCGAGACAGTCATGGAACGGTGGCTTCCCTTTGTCCCCATGCTCGGCATGCAGGTGCCCCCATTATAGCACGAAGACCCATCATCGCCCAGGACAGTAAACAGCCGTCCTCTCAATGATTGCAGGGAGAGGGAGAACGAAAAAAAAAAACTAGACGTGATTTGACGTGGGAACTGCACGCGCTTCAAGAAAAAAAACCTAGCCCAAAACTTTATTACGACAAGAATAAACACCTCTCACAGCAATAAAGACTTGTAATTAAGCCATGCGCTGTGAAGAGACCAGAGATTATGTGATAGAATAGAATGCAATGAAAATGCCTCCGGTTTTTTAAATCTGCCGTTCCCATAGTGACCCATGGGAAAATAGCAGACATTGTGAGCTGTTAATTTTTTTCTCGATTTTTACTGTTCGTAATTGCCTAAGCAACTTAGGTTTTGATGATAGCGTAGAGCTCCACGTAAATGTGCATAAAGAACCAACGAAGTTTCACTGATGGGTTGATATTTGGCTGGTACCGGTAAAGTGGTGTCGATGGTGACCAGAGGTGTAGCGACTAGTGGAATAGCAGATCCGTTCCTGCTGGTGCTCTAATTGACTATGAAATATGAAAGAATTTCGGCGTATTTGAGGTGGCAAAGTCCGGCAGTGTTTACAGAGCAGATGTCTGTGTACACAGGTGAATGGGGTGGATTTATCTGATGCGAGTCCGGCGGAAGCCTTGAAAGTGTTCGCCTCGGCACACGACCCGATCCTCATCGAAGTGAAGCGTCGGCCGAGTCCCCAATCAAAGTCGATTCAGACAGACGAAACCTCTTCGACGACATCGACGACATCGGCAAGGAATGCCTTATGGCAGACGTTACCATCGGAGGTGCTCCATGGGCTCATGCTGCAAGACGACGACGAAGAATCCTACCACGAACCAGTATATCAGGTGATTAAGCCTTTATTTAGAACAAGGACCAGCTGCTGACTTTCGTGAAAGTACTTCGAGGCGAGAGAAGGGATGGGAAAAAGGCGGTAATTAGAGTAGATTTTCTACCGTCTTATTTGGGTCAGTGGGAATCGATGAAGTGAAGGAAGGAACGGTGCTTTCCCCGGAAAAAGGACCCCCTGAAGCGCGTGAGAACACATGAATCCATGTCCTTATGAAAGTCCCCTTTCGTATGAAATTATGATTCCTGTCTTCCCTCCCCCTTTCCAATTCGCGGTTTTGTCTGGAAGATCATTTTGACCCCGTTGGAGAAACCTTGAGAAAAACCGGGTCTTCCCTTCCCAGACCCTCGTTGAGTGCCGTTATCACAGTTTTAGATGACAAGGGTTTCACTCCCTTATAATCTACCTGCTACGTCATCTAAATGCACCGATCATCTCACTTCCGGGAGTTCTTGTGCTGTAAATCACGAAGTGGACTACTGGTGATGTCTCTTTAAAAAAAAAACGTGTAGTGCATACTGGACTTCGTGCATTCATCCTGAAAAAATATTTTTATCTCGCACATGACTGAAGGAGGTGGTGTTGGCGAGAAATTCGGGGAAGGAAAGCTTGGGTCTGGAGCTGACATGGAAAAATCCTCTGCCACAGAACGAAGAATGGGAAGAACCCGGTTGCTATATCTCCGCCATTTATCCCGATGGAATCGCCTCCAAACACCCGACTCTTCGGCTTGGAGATCAACTCCTACAGGCCAGTCCCTTGCAAATAAGAGTTAGTTCAATATCAATCACAGAAAGAAACGCGAGCGTTCATTTCGTCTCTGCAGGTAGATGGCGAATATGTGAGGAGCTTGGAGCAAGCGAAGCGACTTCTGTCCGGCTCGAAGCGGCGTTTTCATCTCTCGATATTAAGATCGAATACGGTACTTTTTGCATCAGATTACGTTTTTTTTAAACCAGACTCTAGGAAACTTATTGAAAATTTGTGATGAAAATTGCAGGAGTTGAAGGAGACAAATGTGGACGGGAGCTGCTCGTCCCTGGAATGGAGACGATCGACGAGGTCTGCGTCTACGGGGGATGAGCCAAAGCAATCCACAATGGAACTCTTCGACTCTGGGACGGGAACGTCCTATTCGAGTACGGCTTCACAGGACAGGGAAATGGAGGAACTGGATCGAAAACTAGCCAGCATCCAAGAATCTCTGGCCGCGACCAGGAACTGGGAAGATCCGGAATATGCCGTTCCGTGGGATTCCGCTCCAAAGGCTTCTCTGGCCAAAGAATCCAAAGATAGATCCATCTATGCCTATGCCAGTCCCTGTGATTCCAGGCGTGGAATGGGGACGTCGAGCGACTATGCGTGTACCAATTCTTGCCCTTCAAGACGTGGAACGGGCACGGGAACGTTGGACGTTCCGCTGCGGCCGAAGTCCTTCGAAGACGATTTCAATGGTACCTACACAAAATTGAATCCGATGGAACGCTTCAAGGACTGGACTCGAAGGTCCTTGAAGACCTCCGCCCTTCCCAGTGCCCTCAAGAAATCCAACAGTGAAAAGAAAGGCGTGAAACAAAAGTTGACATTCAAATTGGAAGACGTCGGAGACGAAACGAGGGGAAGTGTGCTAGTCCCGTCGGACAAGGACACGGACAAGGGTCATCCTCTTCCTGGCGTCCATCCCGAGTACGAACGGATAAAGACGACCAGAAGCAGATCTCTCTCTGTGGATCGAAGGACATCGGATTGGAAAGTGAAGATTCGACCTGATGGCACTCGTTACATCACCAGGAGAAAATTGAATCATCAAATCCTTGAAAGACATCACGACGTTCATGTCAAAACCCCACATCAACATCCCGAGGTATGGGTTGGAGACGTTGCGGGCGTTACATAACGTCCACTTATTCTTTATTTCATTCTTCTCATTACGTTTCTCTTTTTTTTTATCGTTCCGTCTGTAAATGGTGAACATACTTCTCGCATTATTGCTCGTGAAGAACGTTTCGTGCTATTGAGTTTATGAGAAACTAGCATTGCCTAATAATGGCCCCTGACCCGATCACGTCATAGTTAGTGTTTTATCCAATCTTTTACGCGGATATAATCTTGAACGTGCTTGACCATGTAACCCGTAAGACCGCAGAAATACAGGATATTTAGTCGGTCACACGAACGTCTCCTCTCGGGTACCCGAACGTCACCACGGGTGGATGGGCTCATCTGAGCCCCATGGGATCCCATCACTCAGTTCTTGGATGGTGCATCCCCCGACGGTCTCAAAGGTGTCAGTCCGTTTTTGCAGGCCAGTCGATCGGCTGAAACCACGGACGAGCCAAGAATCAGCGTGGAAGGCCTCGAACAGTCTGAGACTTCCATTCTATGAGTTAGTCGTATCGGAAATTTATTCATTGCCCAGAACTCGTGCGAGGTCTCTTCACTGCTTCCCATAACATCGAAATCCCTCCAAATCCCTTCCTGGTCGCCGTACTTATTAACACTTTCCATGGAACGCTATTGTTTCAATGCTTCGAGTCGCTCCTGCCTCGCAATAATCTGACTTTTGACCTCGGGTGATCGACGAGGCATTGCAATAAGGAGCCATGGATATAATGGAACTCAAGACTCACTATTTTTGATGGTTTAGATCCTCTACCAAATTATTGCCTGTCATCGGGGGGGCTCCTTCATGACGAAGATTCGTCTATTTTAGCTTGGTCAGCATTTATGAACGGAATTGTACCCTCAGACCCAAAACAAATGACACACCATGAAAAGTCTCCCGTCATCGAAATTCGACAATTTCTTGCAGCTACTGAGTCATTGCTGATTTACGCCCGACTCAGTCTATCCATATTCATTCCGCTTCAATTAATCTGACGAAGGAAGAAACTTCGATATAATCGCATGCAAATTCGCACAAGCGCGAATTTGCATCTCCACAAATAATAAGTAGGAATAATTTCCATGATTCTGGTGAAACTTAGGCTAGAAAAAGAAATCCTTGATCGAGGAGGTTTCTAATAACGTTTTCTTTCAAATATCCGGTCTATCATAGCAGTGTTTCCGTTCCTAGTCACCCCATATCGACCAGTTTATGCATGATAAAAACAGGTCACCACCACTCTAGAAACAAAAAGTTCCTCAGCTCCAGGGTCCCATCTTAAATAAGAAAGAATCATTATAAGGAATGCTGCAATCCTAATCACACATGATAACCGCTAACTATTATGAAGTACTTTATGAAGTCCAAGTGGATGATGGACCTGGATAACGAACCACATATAATTGATATTTATAATTCTTATTCAATTTTTATTTGTGCAGTTAAACAATTTCGTAGAGCAGCTTAAACTCTATCAGACCGGTTTCGGTTTTTTTTTTCCCCCACGGTATAGCAAGTCCGATGTGAGAGGCATCGAAGAAAGAGACGCGACCGCGAGGAAGACAATCATGTGATCCACTGCTCCTTCACCATCACTCGAGGAGATCGGCTCATCACCAGTACCCTTCCCGCTTCCTCCAGATTTCTGTCCATCACTACCGTGTGAATTTTATAGTTCTGTTTGAAAATATTTCTTCTCATAAACTTATTCAGAATACCATCGATTTTCTGCTCACGAAGGTGACCGTCTGGGATGACGAAATTCAGTAACCATGATGGAAGTGATCGCTTCGATGATCTCATAAGCGAGCGAGAATTTGAAAACACTGCAGGAAGTCGTAATGGGGCAACCATCCGGACTCTGACTATGGAGATGAATTTCTATATCATGCTGATGTATTCTCGTTTGGATAGAGGACAGATTCTCAAATTAGATGTTGGGAGGAGAAAGATGTAGGGAAATTCTGCGAACTTTTCAACTAGGAAAACCATTTCATTCTTTCTGCAATGGTTGCTGAGATATACAAGTTCTCCGGACGTCACTCAATAATGGTCGCTCCAATCTCGTCCCCAACTTTGACGGCTCATTATACCTACAAATAAGACATAAGCTTTCAGGTGTCTTCTCTTTCCCACGCAGTCACATATATCACTCGACAAGTGTTGGAAGTAATTGCTTTAAGGTCCTGATTGATAGCTGTGGAACTTAGGCAACATCACTTCCCCTCTGTCGGCCACTATTACCGAGGAGCGGGAAATCGGAGCATAAAAGATGAGTCTGCAGGTGTCCCACGTGGAGGCCAGGAGTTAACTCGGATCCGAAGGTCAAGTCGCCTTAGGAGGAAGGCCTGGAGTCATTTCACACCAGACGACAGAATATCATATGATGAGATGGATCTTCTTTCCACCGGCCCGAAGGGAAAGGTTCTTATTGACCTTCACCTTTCATCGCGAACACACGACATTCGCGATAATTCCCACCTGTCACGCCATCCCCGCTCGAACCTGCTCCACTACTGAATAAATTTGCAACGCTGGAGAGTTCTCTTCATTTTTTTTCAAATAACAGACTGGTGCAAATGTGGGTAATCTTCATAATGGGGGCACAGGTTCTCGAATGTGTTTGTGTGCGGGTGCCGGAGGGGCCGATTCTGTTTTTGTATTCGGGAATAATGAGGGCTAAAATGTCGGCCCGTGTTAGGTAATTGTCGGGGTCAGGGTGTCAATGATGTTTGGGGTGAGTAACCCGGCTGCTTATTCCCGTCCAAGTCCAAGGACACATCCCATGTGTTGTCTCGGCAGCTGTCTTATTTTGTCGATGGGAACAAGGGACTCATTAAAGAAGTGGGTCGACGACGTCTGCGAGAGGTGACTTATGAGTTTCGTACCTGGGATGGAAAGCAGGAAGGAAGAAATGCTTGGAATATGCTCCTGGGTTCCGGCCTTGGGCACCGCTTTGAACCAGTTCCCACGGGTATGTGAAAATACTTAACTCCACCTCAAAGGCGCAATACGAAGAAGAAAGCCTCACGGGGTCGAAATCGTCCGTTTGGAATTTATTATTAAATCTCAACTGCCCAGGGGGGTTCCAAGGGAGACTACGACAACAACTGGTGTTTATCCGTGTCCATGTCCATGGGCAATGGAGTATTTCCAGGGAAGACCATCTGTTACTAATGTGCCGCATAATCTGCACTTTATCAGAGAAAGCCTCATCCGACGAGAAGGCCTATCGTTTGTTAGGGGCGTCAAAGCGTAAGCCGCTCCAATTACGGCTCCAGGCCTTAAGCCTTCGACATCATCCATCTACCCTACAGGGGAAAAAGAAAAAAAAAAACCTTTTTGCCATTCTTAGAAGGAAGTTAATGAGCTCGCACGTGTCCTTGACTCCTCCTTTTGGCTTCTATTTTCGCTCTCGGCTTCAAGAATCCGTTTCCTTCGCGAGAATCTATTTCCTGTCTGCGGAAACAAGAATTCCTTCCTAGGTCCGTGATCTGGTTATGCATATTCGGGCTCCCGTTTTCACATCCGAACGTGAAATTATTCCGCATCTCGATCAAAGAAGCTTGCAGGTCTTGTGAGACGGGTCGGAACGAGTCGTTCCGTCACGTCGGCCATGCGATGCATCTTTCGTGAATATTCTCGCGAGGGGGGGCATGACAGAAGAAAAAAAATAAGAGGAACGGGGAGGTCTTGGTCTTTTCCGTCAGAGCCGACGGCGGCAAGGGGAGGGGGGGGGGAATGTCCCAACAGCTGCAAGAAGCGAGAACGTGTCAGTTTTATCTCTCAAAGGAGGACCGCCTTTATCTGCTCGTGAGATATGTGGCGGACATCTGGCGACAGCACCTCAAACATACACATATACACCAAAACCGGGAAAACTTCTCTAATTGCCATACCCCCCTCGAATAGGGGCCAGGAAAAATCTCGAACAAAAGGCGAAAATGATAACAAGGCTTTTATTGTCTGAAACGCGTGTGATCGCGGCGAAGGCCGACAAAGTCCTTCCAACAATGGCACAGAATACGCCCCATTGAAAAAGGCGTTGAGGATTTTTTCCCGGCTCTCTCAATTGATCTCCATTGACTGGCACTGACGCTCCCTTTTATGCCTACAGCGGTCTCCGATTGAAAAATAGAAAAAGGGACTTCCCCCTTTCATGGATCTACGGTGGCAGATGTCACGCCCATTCCGTCGTGAACGAGAAAATCCCCCTCGAGCAATTAAGCCATCAAATTTTCCCACAAGGGGGGGAAAGAGAGAAAGCGGAATTATGTGTGCAATTATTAATCACATGCAAATGAGAGGCTCAAAGGAACCGCCGAGGCCAAGAGTCAGCGTTGCGAGAAATGGGGAAGGATGAGAACGTAAAAGGGGGGTTGTTCTTCGTTAATGGACCACAAAACACCCCGGTCTCCGGATACGGGAAAGCAAAGATTCTTAAAGAATAAAATTTTACGGTCCAGCACTCGCGGTTTCCGATATCACATAGGCCGTACCGATGCCTGCTCGAGCAGAACGAAAGATGGGGCAAACAAGATCATGTGGCATTTATTGCTTTGAGGCAAATCGTACGATGGTTTGTGTGTTCTTCGAAGGCTGAAAAGAGGACAGGAAAAGGAAAAGGAGCCTTGAACCGTGAAATTGAAGGCACGGAGATATGACAGTTTGATTGCGTCTCTGACGGTTGGTAGTTTTGAGGAAACTGAAGCACCTGGACCATAAACACCGGGTCTACCCATAATCACACCGCCGAAGATTTGGGAGGTTCTAATTTTGACATCTTTTTTTCCCCACTGTTGTCAATACGTCTCAAGCGTGTTCGCGTGCTGACTGGGAAAGGGAAATAAGTAGAATCTAGAGTTGCCTTGATCAGGGTTCAAACCTGGGCTAATGCGGTCATACGAAAATCATGCCTCGCATCAAATCATGCATCAAAATCATAAGAATCATGCGAACTCTGGCGGCTGCAAATGTGTTTCACCCTTTTCTCCTAAGTTTTCAAGATTATT